TGCTTCTTTTGTCCCCTCTGTCTCCTCTTTGGCGCGTTCCGCTCGGTCTGAATGAACACGTTGCAGAAACATGCTTTCAGTTGCAGATGGAATGCTTCATTCCTTGTGGTCCCGTACATCATCTGAACGCGGGGGATCTTTGCAATGAATCTACCGAGATTCAAGAGGTACTCAAGCTGCGCAGGTGAGGTTGCATATCGCAAGCTCGCAAGGACAGTAGTCCTCTTGCTGGTCGTCTTATTCATCTCCAGCGGGAACATCTTGCACAAGGCAGCGATGTCCTTAATGAAGGAGACGGCGTTGCGATGCGGTCGCTCGGGGTAGCCCTCGGCCTCGATCGCCGACATGGCTCTCGCCGCAGAGGCGTCCGACAGCGAGAACATCGCATCTCCCAATGAAAGCGAGTCCGTCCGCCGTCGCTGCCCACGGAAATACGGCTTGCCATCGTCCAGGCCTTTCGAGATTTTCACTATGCATCGGCGGATGAGATTCGATAGCAGAGTGCGCTTCTCGCTGGGCGCCTGCTCGACCTTGAGCGCGACGTGCAGGGGGTCCTTGGAGAGGCATTGCAGCCGCGGGAACGCGGCGCGGAGGGCCAGGTTTTCCAAAGAGATGGGCGCGTCAGAACAGATCATGCGCACCTGCGTCGCGCCGTTCGCGTGGCCGACGGCTTCGAGCAAAGCCTTCCCCAGGGTTTGCAAGCGGGGCGCTGGGGGGCGGGGCGGCAGCCGAACGCGTTATTGTTTAAGCGATTTCTACAGATAACTGACGCGCACAAAAGCGAGGCCCCCCTCCCTTCTCGCCCGGATTGATAACGATGTATCGGCGTTTCTGTCGTTGCGATTTAACGCAGCTGGCGCGAGCTAAATGCACCGTCGCCCCGTCCTCGGTTAGTTAGTTCCCCTAGCCGCCGCCCCGCCTACTGCCGCCCCGATCGCAAACCCTCGGCCTTCTTCGCATGCGCGAATGCCTCCGACGGCGCCGGCTTCACCAAGAGAGCCGAGTCCATGCGCTGAACCGACGACTGGGCGTGGGCGCCGGGCTTCCGTGCACCACCGGGTGCTCCATGTTGCGCCTGGTGCAAAACCGAAAGCAGGGTTGAGCACTGCCCGTCAATGCCGATCACAGTCTTGTCCGCCTCCTCGCGGCACTTCCCCATCATGTTTTTGATGCGGCAATGTTTCAACAAACCCTCTACGAATGTCAAATGAATGCGAGCATCGTCTGGAAAAAGATACCGGGAGAAACCTGCTGCGTCCGTCACGTGCGCCCAAGCTTGCTTCTTGGACCCCTTGGTGTCCGGGTGGAGTAAGGCGGGCAGGAGCGACGCCAAGAAGTCATTCGTGCAGTGATAATGGTCGCTGACTCGGTGGAATGACTCTGCGTCCGCGCGTAGAATGAAACGAGTGCGCTCGCCAGCATCGAGCAGGGGGGCTGTGTGTCGATCGGAGTCAGTCCACGTAAGCTGATGCCCCACCTCGTCCCGAGATGGACACTCCTCACACCCCTTCCGAATGAACTCAGCGCCCCGCAAAGCAGCGAGCGAGGCCCAGGCTCATCTCCGCCCGTAGTCCAGAGACTTGCAGGGCGCTGGCATATAGCCGAGTGGTTCCACATCGCATGGATTACACGCATCTGTTTGTTCGAGGCACCGCATAAGGTTTTGCCAACATGCACATTGCGCACGTGGGAAACCAACTTATCTTTCCGCTGGAAGGTTTTGAAAGGGCACAACGGACAGTGCCACAAATCGTCTGGTCTGGCGGCGCCAGCGCTCCCTGCGTCGTTGAGGGTCGACAGACAGAGTAGCTTCGGCTTCTTGCCTCATCATCGCTGTGAGCTCCACTGGCGTCTTCGACTGGTAAGAAATTTTGCTGCCGCCGACGATGTCGTACGCTTTGTCGTCCATTGCAAGCAAATCCCCCCTCTGGCAAGATATCCAAATTAAAAAACACCAGGCGAACCACCCGGGGCCAGGCCATCCGGAATTCGTGCGGCAGAATGTCGATCTGCTGGCCGATCGAACTGTCCATGATAGAAAGCGAGCCGCCCCGACGAACTATCATCGCAAACAACGGCCAGTATCTGCTGAGTGTGGTTGCCAGCAGAGAAACTTGCGATCCTCCAGAGCTGCCGCAGATGATAAGACCTGACTACTTACCCGGCCCTCCGCGCCGCGCTCCTAAGTTAAATCGCAACGGCAGAAACGTCGGTGCGTCGTTATCAATCCGGGCGAGAAGGGGGGGGGCCTCGCTTTTGTGCGCGTCCGGTTAGTTTTATGTAGAAATCATTTAAACAATAACGCGTTCGGCTGCCGCCCCGCCCCCCAGCGCCCCGTTTGCAAACCCTGGGGAAGGCTTTGCTCGAAGCCGTCGGCCGCGCGAACGGCGCGACGCAGGTGCGCGTGATCTGTTCTGACGCGCCCATCTCTTTGGAGGACCCGGCCCTCCGCGCCGCGTTCCCGCGGCTGCAATGCCTCTCCAAGGACCCCCTGCGCGTCGCGCTCAAGGTCGAGCAGGCGTCCGGCGAGAAGCGCGCTCCGCTATCGAATCTCATCCGCCGATGCATAGTGAAGTTCTCGAAAAGGCTTGGGCGATGGCAAGCCGTATTTCCGTGGGCAGCGACGGCGGACGGACTCGCTTTCATCGGGAGATGCGATGTTCTCGCTGTCGGGCGCTTCTGCGGCGAGAGCCATGTCGGCGATCGAGGCCGAGGGCTACCCCGAGCGACCGTATCGCAACGCCGTCTCTTTCATTAAGGACATCGCTGCCTTGTGCAAGATGTTCCCGCTGGAGATGAATAGGGCGACCAGCGAGAGGACTGCTATCTTCGCGAGCTTGCGATATGCAACCTCACCTGCGCAGCTTGAGTACCTCTTGAATCTCGGTGGATTCATTGCAAGGAACCCCAGCGTTCAGGTGATGTACGGGACCACAAGGAATGAAGCATTCCATCTGCAACTGGAAGCATTTTTCCGCAACGTGTCCATTCAGACCGAGCGGAACGCGCGCGCTGTGTCCTCAATGTGCACGTTCGCCAAGCTTTTGGCGGGTTGGGCCAGGAAGAGCCCGCCCCTGACTGAGCGCCACCAGGAGCGCGAGCTGCTTCAGGCTGCGCTGTGCGCCTTCACCCAGCACCCGCCGAAGATCGCGCCAAAGTTGCGCCTGGCAGCGCGCGCGAATCCGCGCGTCGACGTCTGCCGCTTGCCTGCTAGCGCCAAAGTGTTGCGCAGGAGGCCAGCGGCTGCTGCGGCGTTGCCGCGCCCGCGAAAGGGGCTCAGCGCTGTTAGTGCCAACATTTTGCGCAATGAACCATCAGCTGCTGCGGTGATGCCCCGCCCGCGCAAGCGGCCTGCCTCCATCGCTTTTCCGTGAAAATTTGCAATGCGTTTCTGGGGCGTCGATGCGTGCTCGCTCCACTTCTGCTTTTTCACGGAAATTGGCTTCCCCGCGAATTCTAGACGCTTCGCGTATCCCCACCAGCCCGTCCAGAAACGACGCCCAGGCGAGTAGAGGGTCGTCCTGAGGGGCTTTTCGGCGTCTTGGGTGCCTCGGGGGGGCCTCTGTGGGCCGTTCGGGATCCTCTTTGGGGGCCTCTTGGGGCCTCTTGGGGCCATCTTGGGGCCAGCCTCTGGGAGCACCTTGGGTGCCTCTGGGGGGTCTCTTGGGGCCTCTTGGGGATCTCTTGGGGGCCTCCTGGGGGCCTCTTGGGGGGCCTCTTGGGGCCATCTTGGGGCCATCCTGCGGCCTCTTGGGGCATCCTGGGGGCCTCCTGCGGCCATCGTGGAGGACATCGATCAAAGAAGAGGGGAGCCTTAATTAGCGTTGCCCCCATCAGAAGGCCAAATTCGGGCCCAAACCATAGTGAAATCAGTGATTTTGGCTTCCTCGCCGAGGCCGTCTTGGACGCTCTGACCGCTCCCCGCCCCTCCTGTCCAGGTCAGTGGGGGAGGGGGTAGGGGGAGGGGTAAACCCCTCCCCGAAGGGGAAGAAGGAGGGGTGGAAGAGGAAACGCTCTAAACCACCGACGCCCAGAGGGCTGGTGGGATTAACTCAAAGCGCCGCCAACAGACTCAGTGTTGTTCGTGTCTGTTTTGGTGTTGGCGCATGCTGCCATGTAGTGAACTGCTTAACCGCGTTGCTCAGCTGCCCTCTTGCTTGGAAAAAGAAACATGGCATGCATTCGCTATGTGAGTCGGCAGCTGCTTACCATTGACCAGATTCCTCTTCTCATGCATCCTGTCACTTCACGGAGCAAATCGGTGCAAAAACGTGATGTTCCAGGGCACTGATATACAATCTCTACCCCCCCTCCCTCGAAAAAACCATCGGACGTGATTACACATTCGGTGTCGATTCGTTGATTTTTTGGGTCGCAGCAGCCCTTCCACTTTGGGGCGTCGCCACGCCATGCTATGTCAGTCTACGCGTCCTCCGAATCGTGCTCCCGCTGCAGCTCTGGCTTCATTTCCGCCGTTCCGCTCGTTCCGAATCGTGTTCCCGCTGCAGCGCTGGCGTCATTATTCCCAGCGCCATGCCACGGCGGGGTTTTCGGTTCTTCCAAATAGGCCCCACAATCTAGAAAATGCACCCCCGAAAAAACCATCGGACGTGATTACACATTCGGTGTCGATTCGCTGATTTCTTGGATCGCAGAACCCCCCCACTTTGGGGCATCGCCACGCCATGCTATGGCAGGCTACGCGTTGACCTTCAACACCATGCTATGCCATGTAATGCTATGCTCGGCTATGACATCCGACTGTGCGAATAGAGAGGAGATCTACGACATGGTAAGGGATAGGAGGGAGGGTTAGGATGTCAGGTATGACGCGAGCGCACCTAGCTTGTCCCCCTCCCCCTCCTCCCCCCCCCCTCGTCCCCCTCCCGGCCCCCCCCGCTTCGGGATTTAGCTACCTGTTCGAGATCTCAGAGCAGGACTGGGGGCTGGGGAGTGCTTCTTCGAATCAGATCGTCCGGGACAGTGGGCATACTTCCCAGGACGTGGAGCACGATTTGCGCAAGCAGTGCTCCCGCTTCGGCGAGATCATCCACTTGGTAATCGAGGCAGGCGATCGCGAAGGCAGAGCTGGGCGGCAGGGGAGTGGCCAGCGGGGCTGGGGTTTCGGGCCGCGCGATCGTCAGACCATCGATCCTGCATTATTAGATGAAATCGTGCTTCGGCTCTGTATCAGGCGAGCAACGCTGTGCGCGAGTGCTCATGGGTAGGACCCTGTGGGTGCGACCCAGATGGAAACGGCCGAATCCCTTCCACCGGTTCATTTTTCGATCGAAGAGTTCGAGCCTCCCAATGCAAACGCGATCGAATTGCCTGCGGCAAACCCCGCCACCGCGCCAGTGCAGCGCTTCAGCAGGAAGAAGGCCGGATTTGAGACCCGCTCTTGTTCACTGCCCTCTTCTGAATTGGTGCGAGTATCAGGCGCATCCTCCGTGCCCTCCCCGTCTTTTCTTTTTGGGGGGCCTCTTGGGGGCCGCTTGGGGGCCCACCGTGGGCCTCTTGGGGCGCTCTGTGGGGGCCTGACGTTGGGGGGCCGAGGGCGCATCTCTGCAGGCGAGGTGGACGCCCCGCCCCGAGGTCGCGAGGCAGGCCTCGAACGCCGTGCTCTTTCCCAACCGTCCTGTGGTGTGGGGTCCTCGTTTTGAAGAGACGTCGCCCCGCGTTCTCCTCTCCTCTCCTCCTCCTCCTCCTCCTCCTTCTCCTTCTCCTCCTCCCACTCCTCCCTCCTCCTCCCTCCTCCCCCTTCTCCTTGCGTGTCATCCACCCAGTACAACGTTTCGTGGCCCCATATTCGGGAGCCCCACCTACGGTCCCAGTGCTACCGTCCGCATGCGTCCCGCACACCCAGTACAGCGTTTCGTGGCCCTCCTCCCCCTGGGGGAGGAAAGGCACGAAACGCAGGGAGGAGGGCCTCCTCCCTGCGTTTCACCCACCCAGTACAGCGTTTCGTGGCCCCGTAGGGAGCCCCACAGAAGGTCCCAGTGCTACTGTCCGCATGCGTCCCGCACACCCAGTACAGCGTTTCGTGGCCCCATAGAGAGCCCCACCGAAGGTCCCAGCGCTACCGTCCGCATGCGTCCTGCACACCCAGTACAGCGTTTCGTGGCCCTCCCCCTCCTCCCTGCGTTTCACCCACCCAGTACAGCGTTACGTGGCCCCATCGGGAGCTCCACAGAAGGCCCCAGTGCTCCCGTCCGCATGCGTCCCGGAAGCCCAATTTGGCATTTTCACCCACCCAGTGCGGCGTTTCGTGGTCCCATAGGGGGCTCCACCCAAGGCCCCAGTGCCACCGTCCGTATGCGTCCAGGAAGTGTAATTTGGCATTTTCACCCGCGCAGTGCAGCGCTTCGTGGCCCCATAGGGGGCTCCACCGAAGCCCCCAGTGGGACCGTCCGCACGCGTCCCGGTAACCCAATTAGGCATTTTCGCTCACTCAGTAGAGTGCTTCGTGGCCCCATAGGGAGCTCCACCGAAGCCCTCAGTGGGACCGTCCGCATGCGTCCCGGAAACCCAATTCGGCACACCACCCACACAGTACAGCGTTCCCCCCCGCCCAGTGCAGCGTTTCGTGGCCCCATAGGGAGCTTCACCGACGCAGATATTCACAACTACGGTACCCACAACTGCACATGGTTGGGACCTTCGCCAGGATAAGTTCCTGCACGGGGTCCCTGGACCGCTCGAACGTCTAGGCCCCTTCGCGTCACTCGTGAGGGCCGCCTGGTCTTCCGCCTCCTCCTCCTCGTGAACATGGCCGTGCGCCGACGGCTGCCGAGGGGCACCGTCGCTGGCGCCCCCCAGTCGTGGGGCGCCGAGGCGCGAGCGATGGGGTAACCCCACGTGTTCTCCTCCGATCATCTGACCTTGGTCGCAGCGGGACTCCACCACCACCACCACCTCCTCCTCCTCCTCCCTCCTCCTTCTTCTCCTCCTCCTCCTCCTCCTCGTCCTCCTCCTCCTCCTCCTCCTCAATCGCCCATCCTGGTGGTTCTGCAAGCATTGCAAGACGAGCCGCAGCGAAGTTGAGACCGCCGAGCCCCCAGCTCCTCAGGGACAGTGGCAAGCAGGCGCACCTCCACGGCTTCCTCTTCGGTCTGGACCTCAGTTCTCTCTTGGGCCCGAGTCGGGACCACAGCAGGGACAACCAGCTGAAGGCATGTCCAGGGGCGCGCCCACCACCACGTCGGATCTTGAGAAGTTGGTCACCATGCTGGAGCAAGTGGGCGACACCGACGCAGCCGCTCGCAATCGTGCTGTTCTCCAACAGCGCATGGCGCAGGAGGCCCCCGTCGTGCCGCTTTCACAGAAGGTCTCCAGAGCATTTGGTGAACTTCGTACCCTACGCGAGAAAACGGAGAAAGCATGCAATGTCTATGACAAGATGGTGGAAGATGTGGCCAAGCAGAGGGATAAGATTCGGGAGCTCTCCGCCGAGCTCACCGCTGCCGAGGCCACCCACACCAAGCTGGACTACAAGCTGGAGCCTGAGGAGGTGGAAGAGGCCGAGAAGAGAGCCACTCAGCTCAAGGGCGAGCTCCAGACAGCTGTGCGGACCCTTTTCGGCGAGGCCATGCAAAAAGTCAAGCAATTTCAACGAGATCAGTCGGAGTTGTTCAAGCGGTCCGAGGCCAAGCGCAGGCGCACCGAGGAGGAGGAAGGAGCCCAGGCCAAGGGCGGAGAAGGGGAAGCGGCTACCGCAACGGTGGCCCCTCCCAGCTCGGCTACGGCTTCTGCGGCCCCTGCTGCTCCTCCTGCTGCCGCTGAACAATCTCCAGATGGGGTGCCTGGAGACGAAGGAGTTCGTGAGCGCGCAGCCCGGATCCTTCATCAGCCCCCGCCGCCTGCGCTCCCGAAGGCGGGGGACACCCCATCGACTCTTTGACGACAAACCACGTCGAGTGACCACTTCTGAGCCCCTGCGCAAGGGGAGGCCTGCACCGCACTTGCTTCCTGTGCCAGGCGGGCCAAGTTTTTGTGCCCCAGTGAAGTTTCAGCCTCCAGTGGATCTTGGGGTGAGCTTCGGTGGCCCAGCGGCCGCCTTAGGGGAACACACTACCTGGTCCCAGGCCTACCCCTCCTGTGAGCCCCCTGCTGTTTCCTGTAGTCCAGCCTGTGCTGACCGTTCCAGTAGGAGAGGTTTGATTTCAGCGGTGAAAGACACCCTTGCCAGATGCCAGGGGATCCTTCGCCAAGGTTTTGAACTTTTTGCTGGCTCCCTAGGAGCCGACCCCGCCCCTCTGATCATCTCGTCGGGAACTCTTCGGACCCTTCGAGAGCCCCTTTCGGGAGCCTGGGATAAGCTCACCCAAGGGGTCACAGTTGTGTCCAAGTTTTTAACTGCTCAGGATGCGAGTGTATCTGCTCCTGCAATGGAAATGTCTGTGTGCGCGTCTAGGGTGGGGGACCTCACGGGCCCTAGGCAGCCTCCTGATGGTAAGCACTCTGGGACCCCTCTCCTCGAGCCCCTGGATCCTGATCAGTTCCCCGTCGACGCGTTCCAGCCCGTCGTGGAAACGTGCGACGTCTCAGGGTGGGGCTCTGCACAGCGCTGGCTGCAACGCACGTCTGCACACATCGTGCTGCTGCAAGAGCACCACATCTTTGACGACCAGCTGGCCTCAGCATCCTCTTGGAGTATCAGACACGGCTGGAAGTCACTTTTCCTACCTGCTGGCAAAGGACCACACGGAGGGCCCTCTGCTGGTGTAGCCATCCTCGTTCGTTCTGGTCTAGGCCTCCACGCGCTGCAGAGCGGCATGGAGATTGCGAAGCACCGTGCGATTGCGGGGGTGGTCGACCTCCCCGACGGCACCCAGATTCTGTGCGCGTCCCTCTATCTCAGAGATTGCGAAGACCTATCGGAAGCGAACCTGGACCTCCTCTGCCGGACAGGCTCATTGATTGGCTCCATGGGGTACCCAGTCATCATAGGAGGGGGCTTCAACATGATCCCGTCGGTCGTCGTCCAGTCGCACCTCGGGGGCTCGCTAGGGCAGTGGATGATACCAGGTGGCACCACTTGCAATTCGGTCGCGGGTCCGAAGGTATATGACTATTTTTCGTTTCGCCAGGGCTCAGCAAAGGGGTTGCTAGGGTGTCGGTGCGGCAGGATAGTGACTTATCCCCCCACTCGCCTGTGCATTTGACCCTCCACCCCTTCCTGAGTAAGTTGCAAGCCCTCAGCTTTCGCAACCCCCCTAAGCTGGCCTCCTCTCCGCTCCCCCCCGTCCGCAAGCTGGGCCCCGTCCCCGCTTTGCGCCCTGCCGTCGCCCGTGTGCTGGGCGAAGCTCGGAAAGCGGTGGATAGGGGGGACTTCGATGCCATCCAGGAATCTGTGGACCAGTTGTATCGGCTTTGGGCGGACCAGGCCGAGGCGGAAGTGGCGGTGGCCACTGGCACCCAGCTCCCCTTCCGTGGGTCCCGAGGGAAGGCCCCCGCTCCCAAATGGAAGAACATCCTGGCCCCCGACACCCAGAGCCCTAAGCAGCCCGTCTTGTTTGCACATAGGTGGCTTAACTCTCAGTCGCAGAGGCTTCAGCCCCACTGGGAAGCCAGTGACCGTGCAGGTGTCGCCTCTGTGCTACGCGTGCTGCGTACCCCAGTCGGGGCCATAGCCAGCGGCCTTGATGATAGCCCCCGCCTGCTCCCGTACCTCGTCGAGGTCGGGGGCGCCGTGCTCGATGCGCTGGAGGTGCACGAGCAGATATCTCGTCAGGGGGTTTTACTGAAACGTCGACGTCTTGATGTCGCTCCTGGAGATGCGGCCGACCCAGGAGCGCGCTTTGCAGTCATTTCTCGAGATTTTGTCTGCTGGCGCAACACTTTGAATGACCGCTTGCAGGAAGTCGAGTGCGACGCCAGGAAGGCGGCCTCGGCTGAATGGAGAGACTGGCTGTTAGAGAAGGCGGATCAAGGGGCGCGGAAGATACATATGGTCTCGAAGGGGGCCACCCCCTGGAGGCCTACCACCACCTTGGCCTGTGACGGTGTTGTGGTTGCTGACCCCTTGTCCCTCCTTCGTGCCGAAAGCCAGCGTTTCTCGGGCCTCTGGGGGGGCGGAAAGG